GACGACTAAAACCGCTATATTTACAGCAACAACTTTATGCCACGTAAAATATTTTCACACGAGTTTTCAAACTGTACACTGGGCATTCGGTGCTTCCTTGGAGCAGTGGCACCTACACAGCCAGTACCCACTCCAGGAATTGCTTCAACTCTCAGTATTTGTTTGTCGCATAAGATTCCTCTTACTAAGCCTGGGTTGACTCGCTCTCTAAAATTATGAGGTTTACAATCTTTAAATTCGTTTTGCATCACCTTTTCATACGCGGATTTATTCTTTGGGTATCCCCATAACAAATAGCGTATCGCAACGCAATTGCATCCACAAAATTTAACTTTTCTTTGTTGGGTAGAGGCTGATAGTTTTCATCAAGTTGATATAAAAGAAGATTCTGCAGTCCCAATTATTTATATGCGGGTAATGTCCAACCTCCTTTAGGTCTCTGGAGTTTTCCTATTATTTTATGAATATTGATAACTCTTCCTATAATATTACGTCTTCAGGATCGGACGCATCCTCCCACACACACGCATTATGCTTATTCTAATATAGTCGTTGCTCGTATCCAATTCACAGCGGTAACAATGATAGTGCATGTTTTATAAATAAATTTCACGCACAGACCTTTCCAAAACAATTAGATATTTTTAGCTCCACACACGGCGCATTTTGATTCGTGATCTTGAGATCATATTTGGTAGATCAACCGTCCTCGTTCTATAACGTAAGCACCAGGTCATGTTTATACTGAAGTATCCACTAAATTGTGAAGCAATAAAATCGCTTCGGAAACTTTGCTTTGCACGGTTTCTATAAGAGATTTGCGTGTATGTTAATCACGCAACATCATTTTAGGTCGGATCGTTGACAACAACGAATCATTGTGTTCCATATCTATCATAACAATTTTGTATCTTTTTAGGTCGGATCGTTGACAACAACGAATCATTGCGTTCCATCTCTATCATAACAATTTTGTATCTTTTTAGGTCAGATCGTTGTCATCAACGAATCATTGCGTTCCATCTCTATCATAACAATTTTGTGTGTTAATCACGTAACATCCCTTTAGGTCGGATCGTTGACAACAACGAATCATTGTGTTCCATCTCTTTCATAACAGTTTTGTATGTTAATCACGCAACATCTTTTTAGGTTAGATCGTTGACAACAACGAATAATTGCGTTCCATATCTATCATAACAATTTTGTGTGTTAATCACGTAACATCTTTTTAGGTCGGATCGTAGACAACAACGAATCATTGTTTTCCATCTCAGTCATAACAATTCTGTATGTTAATCACGCAACATCTTTTTAGGTCGGATCGTTGACAACAACGAATCATTGCGTTCCATCTCTATCATAACAATTTTGTATGTTAATCACGCAACATTTTTTTTTAGGTCGGATCGTTGACAACAATGAATCATCGCGTTCCATCTCTGTCATAACAATTTTGTATGTTAATCACGCAACATCTTTTTAGATCGGATCGTTGACAACAACGAATCATTGCGTTCCATCTCTATCATAACAATTTTGTATGGTAATCACGCAACATTTTTTTTAGGTCGGATCGTTGACAACAACCAATCATTGTGTTCCATCTTTGTCATAACAATTTTGTATATTAATCACGCAACTTTCATCATCAAGAATATGATCCAGAAGATGATCTGTAGAAAACATTTCCTTGAACATTTTAATGGTAGGGACTAATTTCCTTTCGACGTCCAAAAATTAGAAAGGGGGTCTTACCTCGTCACTAGTAATGACAATCTCCATCCTCTTTTTTTCCCCACTATCTCATTCCGTCCCAGAAAGTTGGAGTCTCTGTCCACAAAAATATTACCTAAAAGCCCTTGCGATATTGACCCTGCTACACCGGCTAGTAGAGGTTCCATTAAACCCACTTGTTTTGAGAACTGTGCTGTGGAGAGTTTGAGGATTATACCTTTTTGTCCATTTCGTTTTTAGTCAATGCGGCGACTGGACGAGAAGTCAACATGTGTTTACCAGGGACAGAGGCTACTGCGGCTTCATCGAGTTTGACGGTGATGTTTTTCTTTTTAGATGCTAAGTCAATCACTCTAAGATATACGGAATTCTATGTTTCTAAGAGATGCCATTATTATGCTTTCTACTTTTTAAGTACGGTAATCACTAGGTGATCTGACCATCCTCTTAGAAATAATAAAAACCCTGTTAGTTCCACATGCATAAAAACCCTGTTAGTTCCACTAGGTGATCTGACCATCCTCTTAGAAATAATAAAAACCCTGTTAGTTCCACTTCCTCTCTCTCTCTCTCTCTCTCTCTCTCTCTCTCTCTCTCTCTCTCTCTCTCTCTCTCTCTCTCTCTCTCTCTGCAGCTCCAGAAGCTGCTCCCACTGCTGAAGATAGACCTCTATATGAAATAATACAGATGCTCAAAGTTTTAAGCCAATAGTTTTAATCAATGCAATGATTGCTGTAGCGAAGGATCTGACTTAAATGCTAGTATTTCAAGTTTCGGGTCAGCGCTGTCGTCATCATGGCATGTTTCCTATAAATAGCAGTGATATATTTTTCATTTTCAGACGATCGCGTTAATTGTTCTGTTGATAACTAGCGTCACGAACCGATCGGAGGTGACTAAAGCATAACAAGTATAATCTCCACCTGTGGCTGCTATGCCAACGGAATTCAATATAGATGAGGAATCTTCGAGTTGTCTAGGATGTTTGGCGATATCGAAATCAAAAATAGGGCATAACGCCGCAAAATCTTCCAATCAAATTTAAGTGCCCTTGTAGTTTGGGATTTTTATTAGCTATATCAAAATTACATTCGAATCGTCGTTCGGGATACTGCCTCAAATTATTACGGACGTGAATGCGGCTAACATCGGTATTATGAAATACATGTTTGTGTCCAGTCTGATCAACACGCCGTTTTACCAGATCAAAAGTAACTACTACGTGCCTAGGACGCTCACTCTCCACAACCATTGTTACTCGCCAAGTGTTTATCACCTGAGCTGCAGTGAATCTTTACGCATTTAAATCGGTTTCAAACAGAAAGCGTCATCAGTTTAAACAGAACATAAGCAATTATATTTCGGTCAAGGAATATCATGCAGATTTGATCGTATTTTAGTTCTTTTTTTAATCTTTGGTGCACACAAGCACATCAGTCTCAAAAAAAAGTTTTCTCATCAGAGCCTCCGTAATCCACTCTTTTATCCCATTCCCCAAAATATACAGTAATGCCGACGATTAAAGATTCGTCTTTGTAAAGCCAAAATTCCGATTATGGAATGTTTCATTGTAATGCGGAGAAAAATAGAGTTGGCCTAAGAACATTTTATAAATACCACTTCCAGTAATATGTTCTGGAAGGCGATCGGGGAGACGGTAAGTCCGGATAATACTCGAGAATAATATTCTGGCATGGTACCGGCACACCGGACAAATGGGCACTTAAATTCCATGAGTAAAATTGTATTTTGACGAAGATATAACCATTAGGCGAGTACCTAAAACAAGGTATATAATCGATATAAATATTATAGTCGACGATTTTATTGCCAAATACTTTTTCATTGTAATTCCTGAGAAAAAAATCGTCATAAACAAGGTAATATTGCAAACATTATTTTGGAAGATATCTATTTTTTTTATCCACCATCGAATCGATATCCCCAAAAGAACATTAGTCTATGACCATCGCTAATTCAGATTCTCCGATCATTGTTGTAAACAGATCATACTATTCCGCAATTGGTTTTGTTGCACGTGGTATTTTGAAAAACAATCCATTCAACTGCTGATGCATAACCATTATTATTTTAACGGTAATGATACAAATAAGAAACTACGGGAGGAGCTTTACATTACCGACGTCATGATGCAAAATCCGGAGACTCTCGACGAAGCCATCAGAAACAACGTTAATTCCTTAGAATTAACCGTAACTAAAGCTGTTGGCGTCTCACGCAAATATTATCAACAGCACAAGTGAAAAACAAATACCATTAGAATTAACGGTAACTAAAGCTGTTGGCATCGCACGCAACAGCACAACAGTGAAAAAAAATTAACCGATCATGGCATCGTTAACTCAGGTATAATTCGAATCGCATTTGGAGGCAAAAGCGCTTCATGTAAGAGCAGGACTTACTTTAAAAATTTATAAAATTATCGCAATCCTATGGATAAAAGATCTCTGAGGCTGGGTACCTCACCCAAGTCATCATCGAAAGCCGTAAGGATTTCGAGGGTGCTATCATTAACGCCGACCTCTTAATTATTGATACTGCCGTTAATCAGGAATCAGTTCACACCACAAAATTATGGGATGGGGAAAAACCGGCCAGGGTGATCGACTGGTTTTGGCATCACATTCATTTTTAAAACAAAAACGTATTTTCACATCGGCAGAAAGTCGGTCCATACACCTGAACACATCTCACTGTGTTCGAAATAATGTTCAAGAGTAAAAAGTATCATATTCTGAACTTGAAACCAACTTAAAATTAGATTCGACAACAATATTGTACTCTGTTCGGAAACGCATTTTTACATACTTCTGTTGTATATAGCTGAACCATACGACACAATGCTTAGCGTTTGCAGTTTAGAAAATAGGAAGTGATATATAAATTACAAACCTTTGTCGCCATGATACAGGGCGTTCAGCTTTTATGTGTCATATCGAGTTTTCATTTTTTCCATCCCAATTTGATGTTTCGAATGTGTTTGTGTGTTTGGTGTGATGTAATTATTATTATTATTTAACGTAGGTTTAACAATTTTTCAGTCATATCGCTACGATGTCTGAAGTGTGGCAGTTTATAGGGATGTCTAGCACTGGGGCAGCATGCCGCAGGCATGAAGCATGATGTCCCACCAAGTCACATTATCCTGACACCAGGCCGACCAGTCCTAACACTAGTCTCTAAATGCTGAGCGTCAAGTCAAGCGAGGCAGCTGTTAGTACCATTTTTGTAAGTCTTTGGTATGATTCGACAGGGGATCGAACACACGACCTCCCGCATCTGAGGCGGATGTTCTAACCACTATGCCACCGGAGCAGTATTTGCGTGTTTGGCAAAGTCGAAATCTTAAGTTCAAACTGAAGCTAAAATATTGACTGATGTCAAGGCCATTTTGCATAGCTTTTCAAAATGGATATATACAGTGATTTAACCTTCAAAACTTACAGTTATGTATTTCATGACCTCAAGAAAATCGTGTACTTCTTTAAATGAAATTTGTTTTCCATTATAGTATTAATTTTCTGCAAAATATGAATTCATCATCATCATCATCATCATCATCATCATCATCATCATCATCATCTTTTAATCCAAGAGGTCGTTGTGGCACCACAGTTGGCTTTTTAACAAATTCACTGTTTTTCCCTGTTCTCTACAGCCCTTTAAGAATCTCCAAATCCCATACTACAACAGATGATAGGGGCACCGAGTGGTCGAGTGGTCTAAAGCGATCTCCGTTATAGATCACTGCCATCTCACCTGTCCCCGTGGGTTCGAGTCTAAGATTCGGTGAATGTGGATATGTGAGAAAGCTTGCCAGCAGCTTATCGTAGGTCGGTGGTTCTTTCTGCAGATTTCCCAGTTTCTTTCTCCTCTATTAATACTGGCCGCCATGTTTTGTGTGCTCAAAAATGGTGTTACGCCCCAAAACAACAATAACAGATGATACCCATGAAAATAAATGGACACACATGTGTCTTCAAGTGAATACATCAAATATTCTAAATGCTGTAATGAGCGTAAAACTTATTAAGACAAGCATATAAAATGTGCAATTTATAAGATTAGCTTCAAGGTTTTTAAAACTTACTTAAAATCTTATATATTTTTTTCTGATTAAAAAAAAAACTATTATTGTCATTCGATGCTTGATGGAATCATTTACCCTGAAAAGTCCATTAATTAAGTCAATGAAAGTTTGTCATGTCAGATAATAAATCGGTACAAATTAAGTTTGATAATCACTGAAGATCTGATTTTCAAAAACAGAATAAAGAAACAGAAAGTCCTATCTTTGGAGTCTGTCTCTTCTTTGAAATACTGAATTATTATTGGTTGTATGTCCAGTTGGCTCAGTAGACCCATCCGCCTTCAGTTAAATTTGTTCACTTTTCAATGATAAAATCAATGGAAAGCTGGCCATACAAAGTAAAACAAAACAACCTTTCTGTAAATTGAACTCTTATATTTAAAATCCTGGATTAGTTCCAATCAGTGTAGAGAACTGTCTATCAGTGAAAACATCTGTGGCGGCAGCCACACCATTCAGTTGGGTTAAATAGGTGTTTTCATGGCAAAGCAACACTTTGAAGAATATATCATGTTGATCAAGTTAAGTGCTGAAAGATGCATTGAGGTAGCCATATGATGATGGAATTCGAACCTGTCTTCTGGTAACTATTTAAATGCATTAACAGCTGAAAAGCATCGGGTTTTAGCAGAGTTGAGAATTAGTCAATGAAGATGTTTATTTCCGACAGACTTTCTTAATAGCAGCCTTTATTAGACATGGCCATATACACAAGTCTCTTGTTGGGAAAATACTATCAATTTGGTAATTTTGAATTGAAAATTTTAATTAAGAAAGATGAAGTAGTTGATATGGACATCTATTTTGCAGAAATACTAGAAACATGAAGCCAAAGATGGTATAAGAAAGCTAACCCATGACAAAATCCAAATCTAAAATCGTAAATTTTATCACAACTGATTCAACATTTTCATTAATGTTTGTTCTTTTGTGCTTTATATTTTTGGTATAACAGCAACATGGCACACAATCATAAAGTCATAATACAATATGCTTAAGTTTTACTTCTTTTGAATTTATTTTGATTATTATCATGCTTTTGTTGTGCCTTTTTTATTTATAGGACCACCATTCTTTACCTGCTTTGGTGTGTCCAGTAATAAAAACATCATAATTCTGCTAATTTTCTCTGGCAGACCACATAAATCAAAGGGACCAATTAAATGTTGCAACCAAGAACGTTTAGTACATATGAAATAGGAATCTAACGGGGGAATTTAAAAACAAACATTCAAACAAAGAAAATATTGTATCCAAGAATGTAATTCAAAACCCCTATCATGAACTTTCATGACCAGAAGTTACTAGTTCTACATCACCTATTTGATTTTGCAAAAATGTTGTAATAGCTGGCAACTATAACTGTTTCCAAACATGGCTGAACCTAATGTTCTCAAAAAAAAATCAATATCTTCTTAAATCAACATCACAGTAACAAATCGATTAAATAGTTTGTCATCTGATAAATGTCCAAAGATGCTATGCAAGAGTCAGAACACAATTACCATATTTGTCAAGAACCAAGGTAACATAGAAGTCAAGCATGTTAATGTGCTTGTTTTCTGGTGGCTTTCTGAATTGGCATACATTGGCTTTTTTATTTTGCAAATGATTATTTTTTGCTGGATGTCCTGGAGTTATTTAAACAGTTTGTGGTTGACATGTACTTTCAGGCTCATGTTAGTGAGCCCAATTGAACTGAAAATCCTTGCACACTTCCCATCACAGGTGGTAACATGCAATAATTCTCTCAGATAGGTTTCTGTTTTTGCAGGGCACTTGTGGCACACTGAGAGCTATGGAAGTATCATCCAATTTTCAAGTTTATTTATGCTCTGTGCAACTTACACACCAAGTTCCCAACATTAATTTTGGTATTACCACAATATCAGAGTAACTCCCTTTGCATAAATTGGAACCTATATGGTGACTGTTTATTTAATATTTCCCAAAATTATCTGAATTAAACTGGAAATTAAATACATTTCAATGTAGACCCAATGGAGTTGCTTATCTATTCAAGTGGCCTTCTTGTATGATTTGACAAAATGCTAAGGGAATTTCTCAATCCCCTGGCCATTCAATGAAGTGAGATTATGGTGTGAACTCATATCAGTCATGTTTCATCTGTGCAGCCATCAGCAATTGCTTATTACCAATCTGGAGTTTCTGACCTGATTTCAATTAGAATTGAAATAAAGATTTAAGAATAAAGATTTTCATCAAAATAACATAATAGTTTGATAATGAGCAAGAAATATATATAATTGATCAACAGTATTCATCATTTCACATATCATTTACATTTGTAGTTATGCAACAACTTGGTCTCTCCTAAAATAGAGTATATATGGTACAACACTATTCATCATTTCACATATCATTTACATTTGTAGTTATGCAACAACTTGGTCTCTCCTAAAATAGAGTATATATGGTACAACACTATTCATCATATCACATATCATTTACATTTGTAGTTATGCAACAACTTGGTCTCTCCTAAAATAGAGTATATATCGTACAACACTATTCATCCTTTCACATATCATTTACATTTGTAGTTATGCAACAACTTGGTCTCTCCTAAAATAGAGTATATATGGTACAACACTATTCATCATTTCACATATCATTTACATTTGTAGTTATGCAACAACTTGGTCTCTCCTAAAATAGAGTATATATGGTACAACACTATTCATCCTTTCACATATCATTTATATTTGTAGTTATGCAACAACTTGGTCTCTCCTAAAATAGAGTATATATGGTACAACACTATTCATCATTTCACATATCATTTACATTTGTAGTTATGCAACAACTTGGTCTCTCCTAAAATAGAGTATATATGGTACAACACTATTCATCCTTTCACATATCATTTACATTTGTAGTTATGCAACAACTTGGTCTCTCCTAAAATAGAGTATATATGGTACAACACTATTCATCATTTCACATATCATTTACATTTGTAGTTATGCAACAACTTGGTCTCTCCTAAAATAGAGTATATATGGTACAACACTATTCATCATTTCACATATCATTTACATTTGTAGTTATGCAACAACTTGGTCTCTCCTAAAATAGAGTATATATGGTACAACACTATTCATCATTTCACATATCATATACATTTGTAGTTATGCAACAACTTGGTCTCTCCTAAAATAATGTACCATATACAAATGTAAATGAGACCAAGTTGTTGCATAACTACAAATGTAAATGATATGTGAAATGATGAATAGTGTTGTACCATATATACTCTATTTTAGGAGAGACCAAGTTGTTGCATAACTACAAATGTAAATGATATGTGAAATGATGAATAGTGTTGTACCATATATACTCTATTTTAGGATAGACCAAGTTGTTGCATAACTACAAATGTAAATGATATGTGAAATGATGAATAGTGTTGTACCATATATACTCTATTTTAGGAGAGACCAAGTTGTTGCATAACTACAAATGTAAATGATATGTGAAAAGATGAATAGTGTTGTACCATATATACTCTATTTTAGGAGAGACCAAGTTGTTGCATAACTACAAATGTAAATGATATGTGAAATGATGAATAGTGTTGTACCATATATACTCTATTTTAGGAGAGACCAAGTTGTTGCATAACTACAAATGTAAATGATATGTGAAATGATGAATAGTGTTGTACCATATATACTCTATTTTAGGAGAGACCAAGTTGTTGCATAACTACAAATGTAAATGATATGTGATATGATGAATAGTGTTGTACCATATATACTCTATTTTAGGAGAGACCAAGTTGTTGCATAACTACAAATGTAAATGATATGTGATATGATGAATAGTGTTGTACCATATATACTCTATTTTAGGACAGACCAAGTTGTTGCATAACTACAAATGTAAATGATATGTGATATGATGAATAGTGTTGTACCATATATACTCTATTTTAGGAGAGACCAAGTTGTTGCATAACTACAAATGTAAATGATATGTGAAATGATGAATAGTGTTGTACCATATATACTCTATTTTAGGACAGACCAAGTTGTTGCATAACTACAAATGTAAATGATATGTGATATGATGAATAGTGTTGTACCATATATACTCTATTTTAGGAGAGACCAAGTTGTTGCATAACTACAAATGTAAATGATATGTGAAATGATGAATAGTGTTGTACCATATATACTCTATTTTAGGAGAGACCAAGTTG